CCTATTTATTTCAAAACCCCCTTCCCCTCCCCCTTTTCTGATGAAGGGTCTAGGCCCGAAACGTCAGCCTCTCTGCTCCTATGATGCTGCTTGGCCTGCTGTGTTCATCCAGCCCTGCACCTGATTTGTAGTGTAGTTGCATCTGAAGTAATCTGTTAAATCATCATAAACTTTCCAATGATATTAAACAGGTTTTTGTTTCACTGACATCACATCAAATAACATTCCAGTATGAGGCATGAATTAACAGGTAAATTACAGTCTATACAAATCATAAATTACACATTGTATTGATTATTTCAAGTCACGAGATTACAGGTACCCACATAAATGTGGCATCACATGTAATTTCAGTCTTTCCAGCTTGGCCTCTGGTGTTTCAGATTTCTTACTCAATACATTTAGGACGGCAAGTCACCTACAACAGTAACCTCAATCCTTCTGAGCTGCCCAAATACAGTCAACACCCAAACAAGACCTCTGATGATTCTTAGAACAATCTCATTGGCATACATTTCCCAGAACTCATTGAACTGACTTTATTTTAACTAACCTTGTTAAAAATTTGGTCAGCTCTGGCCAAACTGAAACATAACTGTAGAACTGTCCAATTGACAAACCCTTATCTAAAACCTGTCATCTAGTATCTGTCCCTTTTAAATGTAATACACAGAACTCCTTACAAATGTGCCTTCCCTGTTCTACCATCTGCAGCAGCCCTCCTTTCTTCTCTATAGCAGTAACTTCTTAGTTGGGTCTTCTCAGCATTTGGCCAAACTGCTTTTGACACCGCTGTTCAGTGATTGCCAGGTAACATGGACTGTATAAATTATTCAAGAAAATTATAATTGATCCCTTTATGATTTGATACAAACTCTTAAAAATTCTTTTCAAAAATTCTTAAAAACAATTGTGGATTTCACAAAAAAAGACTTCACCCATGGTCAACAGAAATGAAATCAAGCAGCAGACACTGTGCAATTAATTTTCCACCAAGCAGTAAGTCTAATGTTGTGCACTCTTCAGTGCAATATTTGCACCGAGAATGTTTAACAACTAAGTCAACAGTGCTTCTATTTATTTCATTCAGTTTCCTGCAATTTTTTTTTTAGCCTTTGCCATTTACAGGCAGTCTGTCATGTCATCTTGACCTTTATACACTTGAATGAATCCAATTTTGAACTTCATCAGCTGATGAGTTTGTTACCAATTAAACCAAATCAGGAAGTTGTTTAAGCCACTCAAGGACTTGGGCTGAGCCGCGAAGGAAGTGCTGAATTATTCGAAGGGACATCCTGTGGATAAAGGTCATATCACAAAAATTCTTCAGGATCAGGCAGGTTTTGATTACCTGCCCTCGTATCACCTTCAGTGGCTTGGTTTCAAATCTTGGTTTTTAATGTTCTTGACAAGGTTTGTGTTCTAAATGCTATATAAACACATATTGTTCTTGTTTGTAGACCATCATGAAAATTGTTGGTCAATACAGTACTTCATGATAACATAATAAAATAACAGAAAAACTAACAGTTACACAGTATGATTTACAAACTCAACATGTCCCTTAGTACCAAGTGCCCTACATCCACTGAAATACTTGTGAATTTTTGTGATTTTGGAAACATAGCAGACTACTTCCACATAATAAGCTCCCACAAGCAATGTTGCGATGACAACCTGATAATATATTTTATAGATGTTGATCGAGGGATAAAGTGATTCTTTTAAATAGTCTTTGGGACCTTAAACATCATCCTGAGAGAACACATAGGGTTGCAGTGTTAATGTTTAATCTAAAAATGATTTAGGGCATTTCTGGCAACCAGGTTAAGCCAATATTATAAACTCAAAAATCTTTATTTCTTCCTGCCCCAATTTTTTGGTATTCACCAGAAGTGGTTTGCTTCCTAATCTCAGTTGTGAACTTTCCCCTATCCTTATCAGAGACTCATTAAAGCAACTGCAATGACTCATGAATGTATAAAATCAGTTTATTTAATGTACAAAAAGAAATGAACCTGGAAAACTCCGCTATTCAACATTATTTGCCTACTTCATGCACTTGTTAAATTAATTACCCTCCTTTCTTCTCACACTGAGCAGTTGCTGACTGACTGGCCCTCAAATGCATCAGTTCTGAAAAAGGGTCACTGTACCTGAAACATTATTTCTGCTTTCTCTCCACAGATGCTGCCAGACCTGCTAGTTTTTTTTGGCAATTTCTGATTTCCAGCATCCACAGTTCTTTCTTTTTCTCAAATATATCTTTACCTTTGCAGAAATCTTTAGTCAACCCAAAGTGCTTCAAATAATGCCACAACTCAGATTAGTGATTCATTGTGAAAGGAATTTTGAAATTCATGCCAACTCTTCCTAACCAACCCACTTTTTTCCCTTATAATTACTAATTCCCATGCTAAATAGGTGTTTCTAGGAGCTTCCCCACCCAAGTTAAACTTACTGGTCTGTAATTTGCAGTTCTCAACTCTGCTGGTACCTCCCAAGTCCAAGCAAGTTTGAAATACAGTGGCCATGCCCCCTCAATTTCTAACCTCACTTCCTTCAAAATCCTTGAATGCATCTCATCTGGTCACATTGCTTTCACAAACTTAAGTACCAACAGTCTATTCAAGACAATGAAAGAATTTCCTTTCTGTCACCATCACTCGGACAGCATTCTTCCAGTATAAAAGGATGCAAAGTATTCATTTAACACCTCAACCATGCCCCTTGCCTCCGTGTGTAAATCCCCTTTTTGGTCTCCATTTGGCCCTTGAGCACTCTGAATCATTCATTTTTAAAAGGAGTAATGGAAAGATTTGAAGAAGGTAACACTGTTGATGTGGTATATATGGGCTTCCAAAAGGTGATTAACCCAATACCACACAAGACTTCAGAGGAAAGTTATAGGCCATAATATAAAAATAATAGTAGCAACATGGATACAAAGTTGGCTGAGCAATAGAAAACAGATGAATGGTCAATGGATGCAGTTTGGACTACAGTGGAGTGCCCCAGGGATTGGTATTGATATCCCTCCCTTTCCTGATATATTTTAACGATCTGAATCTTGATGTGCAGAGGACACTAAATTTCCAAGAATTATGAATGGAGAGGTTAATAGTATGGAACTCCAAAAGGAGATTGACAAGTTGGCGGAGTGGGTGAATAGGTGGCAGATGAGGTACAATGCAGTGAACTACGAGTCAGTGCATTTTGGTAGAAGCAACATTAGGGTGTGGGACCAAAGGTATATGTGCACAGATCATTGAAGGGAGCAGGACAAGTGGAAAGAGCAGTTAATAAAGCAAACAAAAAAAAAGCAAACAGTGTCCTCAGCTTTACTAACAGAGGCACAGAATTCAAGAAAGGGGAGTTAATGTTGAACTTACACGAGACATTTGCTAGACATTAACCAGAACACTATGTACAGTTGTGGGTGCCACAATATAGAAAAGATGTGAATGCATTGGAGAGAATGCAGAAATGCTTTACAAGGATGGTTCCAGAAATGCTTTACAAGGATGG